TGAAGAAAGGACGAAAATCAATTCTGATTGTTTCAACAGAGAGTGCAGCAGACAATGACCGTAATCAATCATGCATGAGTCATGTAGCGTTCAAGAACTTTCCAGCACACATTTTCATACCTGAGATCCCTTTCACCACACCCATGACGCCTATTTTCGTATTTTGACATTTGGTGAGACCAAGTTGAGAAAGTACAGCACTGACGCGCTTTTCCCGCTTCTCAAAATTCAAATCCGTACGAAGCCGAGCCTTGAATGATAATGATAAAAGAGTGCAAAGAAGTCGAGGACATTATAAGATCACCTGAATTGTCACATACTCGCGCACAGTCAGCGTACCAACGAACATCTCTTCTTGCTGTGCATAACCAGAGACGGCAGTTATACCACGTCCAATCTGTTCAAGATCAATTAGAACTTTCGTAAAATGGTCTAAATGAACACATACCACATTTCCATTCACTGCTATGGTGCCTTCAACAGTAAGACCTTTGAGATTTCGTGAAAGAAGTGTGTTGAGCAGCGTTGTTTTTCCAGCTCCACTACAAAAAAAAAGCTCTTATCTGCTTCTACTTCAATCATAAAGCTTCGTTGCAGAACTATCATAGATCACGAATAAGCATAACATAATCAGATAATTTGTAATCATCACTGTACTACACGTAAAAGAAATTCTATTTTCAAATTATTCATAAAACTACTCCAACTTACACAAACAAAATTTCACGAATTGAGCTTGGCTATCTTCGGCTATCACAAAGTATAGGCAAAGTATAGGTACTCGTAAGCGAATTAGAGATGTGCTCAGATTTACATCCAGCTACTTGCATTTGAAGGGTGTTTGTCTTGATTTCCAAAAACATGGAATGCACGGCGCTTCTTCGAAAATTTACTATTGTATTTTACAGAAATTATCTATATTACGCATACTCGACTGTATTTTTTGAAGTTATCGAGACTGAGATATCGGCGCCTCAACATGGGTAGCCGTTGCAGTCATTTTATGACCCATAATTTCTTTTGAAAAAGTCAGTCGCCAAAGCTTTGCTCACTTCTGTATGTAAGCGGAAGGGTAGGGCATCCTGTTGACAGTTTTTCCGAAAACATTCGGCTGTTCAGTAGCAAAAAATCAGAAAACTATACTAAATTCTGTATTTAGGAATTTGAGGCGTGCTGGAAAAATGTTGAAAAAACTGACAATCAAAAATTAATTTTTTTCCTCCTCGCGAGTTTCTTTTCTCCCACACTCTTTTCATCGTATTTTGTACTATTGGCTTGTGGTTACTAGATAGGATACTTATCATTCATACTAACAAACTTTGTAGGAAGTATGGATTGCCAAAAACAAGGTTTCAAAAAAAACTTTTTTTGTTTGTTAATCCTTATTTTGCTGCTCGTTTGTGATATGAGTACAAATAAATGTGTGCTGCATTGCTTAAGGTTTGCTGCTTCTTATGGTTTTTACCGCATTCAGAAATATGGATTTCCCAAGAAGTTATAGCACGTGAAAGTGAGAAGTCGCAAATCGGCCATTATTTCTGCACTAACCTAATAGCTAGGCTAGATAAGTCAGAAATCTGTCCTTCATGTTGAAGTTCAAAGTGCCATTCCTAGCCGCTTCAGTACAATTTAGCACACATTACTTTCGGACGCTGATGAGCGGGGGCGTGTCTGCAGGAAGCCTGAGCGATTTTGCTTCGGAATCCATTTTCTGCAGCGGGATTGGGGGCAGGTACACAGGCCCCGCTATTATACAGGGTGCGCCACAATTATTTGCGCGTATATCATCAAGCGCCATACGAATATAAGACCGGCTCCAGCGGTCAAGCTTGATATTGTGTTCTTGGTTCAATAATATTGTAGCTCAGTCGAAAATTGTGAAATTTCCTGTTTTGCTTTTCGGTAAAAATTCATAATATTTCTTTGGCTTTGTCGCGCGCTGCAGGCGGGTAGAGGCTCACAAATCTGCCCAGCTGTATCTTTTTAGACCGCTTCTCTCAGGTAAAGATTTCGCTGTAAAATAGAGCTAGTCTTAGACTTTAAGATCACTGAGGTTTGGAATCTTTACTATTTAATAATTTGCGTCAGCTTGCGTTTCTTCTGTCACGAACTTTGCTTTTTGCTATTCTTACTTCTCTAAATGAAAACCCAATTGGAGTCTTGATAGTGCTTGTAGAGTATGCTTACGGCATTCTGTGACATCAAATCAGACAAAATTTCTCATTTCCATTGTTGTGGCATTACTTTGAATATTTTGGCGCAAATTTTGGCGCACTCTGTACAGCACTGAAATCTCACCACGTCAGTTTGGGTGGACAGTGCCTTTGAGATAATAGTTCAAGAATGATATGACATAGCTGAGAGATGCTGAACACTACCTACATTCGACGAAAGTACAACAAAGGTCAAATGATAAGGCATCTTCAAATCTAAACGCGGGCTTATGTTCGAGAAAGCATCAATGGATTTCCACTCGTCCGGTGATAGCAGAAAATTACAGAGATTATCAGAACACGATTCATCTAGTGCAAATCATGATACAAAAAATTTCGTACGTTCCCCTCAAAATTCAAATTTTATCGGTAAAAATTCGAGCAATCAAAGTTCGAAAAGCATGCAGCGATATACGTTATATGTGGTAACAAAGCGGGGTTCAAGGGTCTTGGAGAAGAGTTTCTCCGCCTAATTGAATCACTGCTGTCAGGACAATGTCTTATTTAGATACCCCCCCCCCCATCAATTTCCACGTAAGAATCCCATATGTGCGACTGCCTAGACATTGCCTCCAAAAGCCGTGTTTCTTTGGATACTGATCAAGAGTTCTCGACCAAACTATTTTCTCAAGCAGTTTATGCATTTTTGACACAAATCGACCCCAAATTTGCTGCACTTGCGTATACTAGGATTCTGATGCCTGCTCGAGAAGTACGTGGTACTGAGCAGATTTTTAGGAAGTTCTCGACTGTGAGTAAATGATATTAATGCCTTGAGATTCCGCCGAGGTAACGACTCAGTCACAAGCGGCTCCTCTCCCCAATCCCTACATGACCAAGTCCCCAAATCTGCATAGGGTTGATTTTATTGCAATGACATCGAAAGCAGCGCTTGAATAGTGCTAAAAGAGCTTAGATTTTCTTATTAATTTTCAAACACTCATGCCTAATTGTACAATGGCTCTATGTTTTCTTCGCAGTTATCATAATAATTACATACCAGGACGAACCGAGAGGAGTGAGAGAATGGATCCAAAAGTTTTGTTGGATCCATCCCCTCAGTTTGCTTTGAATAATAAAGAATTTGAATTAGTTTCGTAAAAAATCGATTCGCATTTTCCGCTACGCCCCCTTCCTGAAAATTTTTGAATTACAAACACAAAAAGTTGGGAAGCATCTTGAAAAAAAAATTTTTATAAGCATTGTTTACGCCAAGCCTTCATTTTAACATTATTCACATTCCCTCGCCTCCTCCCCCCCCCCCCTCCAAACTAAAATTTCGCGCCGCCATTGTCACAACTAATAGTACAAAAATCGTACTAGCTTGACATGACAGTGTTACCGTGATTGCATTTGAAATTAGCAAGACTAGTACACTGAAAAAGCTTCTGGAAGAAAACAACAAGTCACTATGCTAAAATTCAAATTCGATAGTAAAATGACAAGAGAATGACATGTTCTACGTTGCATGGTAAGTTCTAGCCAGCACTTCAGCACGATGCATAGCGCCCGTGAGAGGCGTAGGGACAGGATAAGGTTAAAGGCAGCGTCCAGGCAGATCTGGACCTATGGGAATTTTTCGTCGAAAGTACTTTTGGGGCCCTAACTAAGCCACTGCCCAAGCGGCAGCGCAGGTAGTGCTCTAACGGCTGAGATATTCCACTGGAAAGTGGACCCCGCGATCGTATTCGCATGGATTCTTGGCTTCGCGCCAGGATCCACGCTATGCGCCATGAATTCATGCGGAATACGATCGCGGGGTCCACGAAAGGAATATCTCAGCCGATAGAGCACTACTTGAGCTGCCGGTTTGGCAGTGGCTTAGTTAGGGCCCCAAAATTACTATTCACGTGAGGATGCCATGTGTCCAGACTTGCCTGGACGCTGCCTTTAAGGAAAGAGTCCGAAATTTGTAAAAAAAGAGTCACATTGCGTGGAGGAGGGAAAGAAGAGGAGAAAGCGAATGAAAGTTGTGCAAGAACAATCCACACTTCCAAGACACAAGTGCATCTAAGTGATCTTCCGTATATAGCTTTTAATAAAAAGAAAGTGAAAAATGTCTTGGGATCTTTGAAAGAGATGAAAATATTGAGATCACTTGTCGGATAAAGGTGGAATAAGGAATTTACCTTGCACCCATTAATGCCACCAGTTCGCCGGATCGAGCTAGACCTGTGACACCTTGCAGTAGCTGTCTACCTCCTTTGGTGACAGAAACCCTGAATGTGAAAAAAATTTTTAGAAAGGCGGGGCCACCAAAAATTAAAACAAAAGCTAAATGCTGACCTCACATCCTTCCATGAAAGAGTGATTGGCTCCACAGCTTCTAAGACAGTATCGGCTGCTGCTGCAGCTGTACCGTATACCGTAGATTGCGCAGCTGAGAATAAACTGGTCGTCTCATCTTTATCATCCATAGTGAGCGGGCCCAGCAACCCAATACGGGGTTTGATGAAGGAAGGGTAAGTACAACAGTGAAAGGGAACAAGTGGACGAGTAGCTTATAAAACTCAGCCGCAGGGTTACAAAAATGATACAGAATGCGAATACACTCGTAATAGATGAATTATTATCGATGACCCACTATCTAATCTTATCAATGCTCAACATTGCTATACAAACATAGAACCTTACTGCGGACAGTAGCACATTCCAGGGTGCAAGGGGCGGACAAGATAAATGGACAAGTGAGTGATAATCGACTGTTCTTGTAGAATGGAAAAATGGCTCAAATGATAGAGAAAAGATGGGAGTAGCTAAAGTCAAACTATTTCAACAGAAACTCACCTTGAGGCATACACGTCGAAGCAGACGATGTGTAACGTCAAGAGTGACATAAAATCCACAAAGAGGCCACAACATACTGATAAGCCCAAGCACGAGGAGCCGCAAAGAAGATTCCAGATAAAGCGGTAACGGGTAAATAACATGAACGCTGAAAAGTGTGGGTACTTTGATGAAAATCCTCTCCGTATCAAAAATATCTGATCTCTATCGATTGATAAGCAGTCGATCTACACGACTTTCTCAGACTCGTAATCTGAGTCTACCCTTGTGGATGGATAGACATCGAAAACAGAGGTATTTCCCTCTCTACAACTTAACCCTCACTTTTCCACAGATGCACATGGTACTGGAAGAAGCTTGCAAGTGCAGTATTGACAGGTTCATTCAGTTTCAAACCAGCAGGATTATTCGTAAGCCACGTTATGAGCTGTAAAAAAACATTTACAAGCAGTATACAATATTTATGGAGTAATTTCCTCTAAATCCACATATCATTCTTGTTCGCAATACCATACAATTTTCATCGTCGGTAAACCAAATTTTCTTGTGTGACTTCTACTTTTTGAATTCATAATTGGCTCCCAGATTCGTTTAGAGGCGAGCATTGACACTTCCGATAAATTCGAAAACAAGTCAAATTTCGGTACTTTTTCGTTATCCGGACCCATTTCTTTAAAATGCTCATAAGTAAGTTCTCTAGTCTAAGAACGATTTTTTATAGATTCTACGAGGACTGCCTTCGCCACGTGCTGGAAAAAAAAACAGGCTCCAATCCATTTTGACATGTTTTTTTTCGACATCTTGGTGAGGTAAAAGAGCATTTGTGACCACCTAGAAGCTGCTCAACTTTTTATAAGAGCAAAACCATCTAGAACTCACAGCAGAACATCTTTATTGCTTTCACCAATGATTCAAAAATGTTAATCTATTCAAACTTCCCGCCATGCGAATTTAGCCAAGAAAGACTATAAACTGAAGGCTTGAAGTATATGCGATTCGTACAAAGACAGACTGCGGACACATCTGTGTCTCACTGATCGAGCGCTCTTTCGTTTCTCTTACCATCTGCTGTCTCTCCCACGCACAAACTATCTTGGCCGGAGGCAATGGCGCCCAGTCTTTGCGTCATGAATCGTGTACCTCCTTCTGCTTGTTTTGCCGCTTAGATGATGAAACCTTGGCCCATTTCTATTCTGTGCATGTCTAATCTGTTCATCAGTAACGGGAGAACATGTGGATCACACTCCAAATTTTTTTGACACGTGACAGAAGGTTGACACTCCTTCTCGTAAAGTTGGGACAATATATGCTACAAGGAAAGAAAAACCTATTTGAAAAATGGGTCCAGTTAACGGAAAGGTACCCAAATTTCTACCGTGAAGCACTGTTTCTCGAACTTATCTTGCTATCAAAAACCACCACGCTTTCAGCTGTCACTTATCTGTCTGTGACTGGGAGACTGGAGAACACTTTACACACATTGTCTAAACAAGCTTGATACTGTATTCAGCAAGTTCGTACTTGTAATCATCATCTGGTATTATCTGCAACGTGGGAGTAGGAAAAAACAGTTCCACCTCGTTTAGGCCCCGGACAGACTTCACGCGATTTGATCGTCACGACTCAATCGCTGACATTTCCATTCATTTTCATTTCACATTCAAAAATTGCGGGCTGGAAATATTGGTTGGCTAAAAAGTAAGTTCGTTTTGGCATGCAAATTGCCATAAAAAATTTTCTTGTTGTTTTTAATCCACGATTCTTTGTGGGAAATTAGATCGAAGCTTCCTCTATCACATATCAAATAATCAGGATTTTCTATCGTCACTAAAGGCAGTTATGCCTCAACATAACGAAATTTCCAAAAGCTCAATTCTTTGACTTGTTGAGCTTCGTTTTCATGCTGTAATGGATGTAAAGAACAGCCGTTCGGTGTTTGGATACAGAGTAGTTATCCCTATTTAATGAACAACGAAAAGAAATGTGATCTGCTATTTCGAAAATGTTTTACAAAAAAAACCAAATTTCCTTATATTTGCGCATTATGAGAAAATTGCGACTTTTCACTTCTTTCTGGATTTTTTTCCTGGAAAGATAAGTTTCACTCAAACAGAATATATAGTCCAATACCCAGTGAAGTGCTCTTTTCAGAGGTACCAAACATTGAACAAAAATTTGTATACAGCAATTGTAAGGTCTGAAAAAGCGACCGAACTTATTTATTAGCCAACCTAATGCGAAATGCAAGTTGATCGGCATGGAATGATGTTGTAACAGTTGTCTCGTCGCATTCATTCGCGACGATCAAATCGCTTGAAGTCTGTCCGGGGCCTTAGACAATGTTTACAAAGCGGTCTGGAGTCTCTAGCCGTAGAGTATATGATATAAAAATCCGCGAACCGATGATATCTGGATCTAAACTGTTGAGTCGTTGACAGCAAGGACTGGCCAAAGATTGCGGAGCACGCTCGGTCAAACGCTTGTACCAGTACGAATCGCCAATGTCCAAGTCGCGCTCTTGTAACATTTTAGCCGCGCCGTGCGTGCTCCGCAATTTACGCCAGTCCATGCGGTAGACGACTCGACGATAGCAGCATAGTTGAAAATCCGGAATGGACAAGAACATCACTACATGAGTTCACAAACCCCATCTAGTCGCGTGATTAGTTCATCCACATTATTCCAGAAAATGTCGTAAGCCTTATCACAGTTAAGACACAAGAAAACAGCGAGGCCAGCGATTAAGTCTGCTGTTAAGACGATCCACCAAGATAGTGATCTGAAATAGCGCAAATTCGAGATCGTGCATAAGTAATCTCCTTATTTTAATTAACAGAGCACTGCTGTGCATGGAGTCAATCTTGCAAAATACGGGGGAAGTGGTAGAGGGGCTGTATAAGCCTGCTGCATACTTTCTGTCCGGTTTTTTTTGCCTTATGTTTGAAGCAGCTGTTCTGATATTATCACCTTTAAATACAATACTGTTGAATAATCAAAAAGTGCTTTTCTTGCTCTTTCTAACGCATATTAAATTTCAATAAATTCCTCAGTTTAACGAGATTGCAAGCTTAAGATCCCCTGGTAGCCGAGATACTTTCTCACCAGGGGCGGTCCCAGGATTTCGGACCGGGGGGGGGGGAAAGGGGCGCATTCCGAAAAAATTTTTGAGGTGCTTCTCAAAATTTTTGCGGGTCCCCAACCCCTAAAATCTGGAAAAAGGGGGCATGGCGTCAGCCACGCCCCGAAAAAAATTTTTTATGAGGCTAATTTAAATTTTTAAGAAATTTTAAAAATCAATATCAACAATTACAAAAATAAACAAGTCGTTTGCACATTTTCATAACCCATGTAGGCAAGTTATAAAAATTTCGCGACCCATTCTCCGGGGGGGGGAGAGGGCCGCCCCCCCCCCCCAAAGAAATATGTTCTTGCAAGAAAATCTACACAGTGCGATTTCAAGTCAAGTCCTTCCGATTGTGGATAAGGGTGCAACAGACTAGTATATGCACAAGCCCAATTTTATGAAGAAAACGTTCTGTAAAATTTGCTGTCGAACAATAACTTTTCGTATAAATATTCTACAAGCAATAACCATTTGCAAATAGAGGCAATCGATGAGTCCAAAGTTTGAAGTGCTAGAGTAAAGCAAGGGCTAGCAAAGCCCAGCCACTAGTTATTTCTCACTTCCTGCGCAAGTGTAAAATTTTCATAATTTGAAAGTTAGCGTACACACATGTACAAAACAAGGTTGGGAAACGGCTACGTTTTTATTCGGTCAAAAAATCTTCGATACCGGAGATTATGTGGGCACTTTTGGGCTGCAGAATAATCTTCGAAATTTTCTCTATCTACCCATGGCTACTTAATGTGCCTGTCAGTTCTCATAAGAGAGCATTGCCATGTCAAAAAAGACAGTAGTAGAAGAACGCTGTAATGCTTTTGGGTTTTTGTTTCTTCTTAAACAAGGCTTTTCGCAAGAACTAGCGATTTTCTCGCTTCCGAAGCGACATTTTGCGCCGCGACTTAGGCATTGGCTTGATAGGGACCTACTATCATAAGCTGCCAAAGGCTCAAGACCCTCAACTAGGGTGGACGGTGTCTATAAGTTCCCTTTTTGATTAGTATTCTTACTAGCTTACCCGCCTCCGCCCGGCCCTGTCAAAACACTATAACAAAGGTCTTATTCCTGTACAACCTTTCCCTGTGCCCACTTCTACAAGAAAATTCCCTATTCTCACTGTGTTAGTAATCAGCATGCTCACTTCTTCCCTGGGCCAACTCCCAGCCCCGAAGCTAAAACTGTGCAAAAAAATCGATGAAGTCTATAAAAGGTAACGGGTAATTCCAGAAACTAATATTTTCGTCATCAGCATGCTCGATAACTCTACCTTGCCATTTCCCAGTCCCGTAGCTCAAAGTTTGCAAAAAACGATAAAAATCGATGATCGATATCAATCGATAGCGAGAAGCAGCCTATGACACCCGCCCCGCCCCGAAGTGTATGTGTGCAAAGTTTGGTCCGGATCGGTACAGAAACAATATTTTCTATTCGGAACATACGTACACACACAGACAGACACACATGCAAACAAACATTCAGCTTTCTATTAGTCTTCTTATAATACTCCCTCCAGTCAAGCAGGGTAACGGTTGGGTACTGTCACGTAAAACGTGCGTCTTTCCCTTGGCAGCACTTCGCAAAATTAATTCACTTAACTACATGAACATCTTACAAAAGAACTTTCGAAAGGATAATAATGCCAAGAAAATCCCATTAAGGCCGCGTTCATACTGATCCCGTAGTTCGCGAACAGCTCCAGCGCAGCGCTCGAACTGGAAGCTGTGCAGGAACTGTTCCCAAACAAGGTCGGTGTGAACGTAGCCTAAAGACGTCCACAGAAATTCTCGACTTCCACGCTTTGGTCGTTCCGAAATCTTCTCATGTCCCTGATACCGAATATGAAATCAAGATTCCACGAAAACCCTAACAACCACCTTCCAAAGAACCCACAAGCCGGTTCTCCGAGACGGTGACTGGATGGATGCGCATGGATGGGCGGGCATTACTGGAGCGGACGGTGCCGACGTGGGATCCTCATGCTTCTTTGCTATTCCGAAGCGCTTTTTTCACTTCCGAAGCGGCATTCTGCGCCGCGATTTAGGCGTTGACTTGATAGGGGTACTACCATCGTAATCCGCCAAAAGCTGAAGACTCCTAGCTTATAGTGTACGGTGCTTTAACGCATCGCGTATGCCCACGACCAATGCGATGTCAGAATCAGGCAAAGCTGTCTTACCATTTCCGCACTCTATAACAGGATCAGAACAAATTCAGGTGACCACAAAATTCGGATCGAGAATTTACCCTAATATTGCTTTGAGTTCCAGGTTGTAACAGAGTAATTTGCTGTATCTCAGCTTGACGAAACGCAGAAAGTTTTAGATGATAGCCATTCAACAAAAGCTTTGCGGCTGTTGAGCAAAGTTCACAGCAAATAAGCTGCTTCCAAACCTGTTGCATAAGTCAATTAGGAGACAAGACACGCTGATAAACTGACTACTTGATCTCAAACTTTATTACCAACCGACTCGACTACACTGCACAGAACGTAACAATCGTGATAGCGCACTACTAACGCTTTTCTACCACACATCCAACTCTAATTCTACATTATTTGCTCATAACATCCCCGAAAATGCCTTTGACCTAATGCACTCAAGTCACAGAAATTTAGAGAAACTATTCAGAGCATATATCTCAAACAACTTCATCTTTCAGAAACATCAGTGCTAACTACATAAATCTGTACCTGGTCAATTTTGCTCTTCCTACGGCTAATCGGTAAGATACAGGACGGAAAGAGTCGGCTAACATTTATGCTCTGAAGTTATTTTGAGCTATTGCATCCAACCACAATGTATATTCAGTATAAGTCGACAATTACAACTACCACACACACTTATGTTTCTAGCCCAACTTGATATCAACCTTTATGACAATTAACAAAATAACATCCTATTCATTGTGCGTGGGCTTTTGCAGCCTCCAGCTTCAATCTCAGTGACTCGGGCATGACTGGTGGAGGTGGGCGAGGGAGATGCAACGCTACTTTCACGGAGTCGTAGATGAACCATTGAGCAGCAGTCAGTGTACCGATCATGATGATACGGGGGAACAATCCCTTCCAAAGTCCAACAAAGCCGAGTTTCTTAATTATTCCACCAATTCCAGACCCAGCATCCTGGTTCAGCTTAGATACTACTGTATCAGCAGGATGAGAAACGATAGCGCAGAACACACCTATAAAAAGAATTATCCATCGGAAAAGCGCTGAGAAATATCAAATATCTCACCAGCAATGTAACCAGCACAGAAAGTAACAACAAGCTGTTCTGGCTTCGAGCACTGTGATCTTGGTTTGGGAACAACATGCTTATACAGCAACTCTACCGTTCGTTCGAAGCAGGCGAACTTCATCATTGTGTATGGGATTTGACGCAGCCAGAGAGGCACTATGCCCTAAAAATGGGTTTATGAATAACATGAAAACTTGAGATGAACCGAATAGAAACAAACCTTGTAGAAGCCCATCAGTCCTTCCGTTCTGTAAATCATGGGAGCACAACCGCGAAGGGTTGGTGGAGCTCCAGGTGAAGTTTGGACACGAACTTTTGTAGCTTCCATAGGTGCGAGCATGATGTCAGCAAAGAACTCAGCTGACGCTGAAGCTGCCAAGTAGAGAGAAGTGCGGTAAAGATACGCATTCTCCTAAAACATAAAGCTCAGATCATGCCTCCATCTCAGAAGGAAGTAGTAGAAACTTGCCTCGCCAAGCCAATCCGTGTAAACGTTTTTGAAAATTTCGTAGAAACCGAATTTTCCCAATCCCTGAAGGGAATATCCAACCGCTGTAGGTGCCCATCCTTTAACGAGAGCACGACCCCCTTCCTCCGCAACTGTGGTACGGAATCCAGTGACGATTCCTTTGTACTTCTCCGGGTTGACCTGAGGGCATCGATATGTTAATGATATCACATTCGATACACTCCGAAATGATTAGGTTCAGCTCATAAGACAACCGAACAAAGTTGAAATAAATTTTGTACCCGTAACATCTCCGCAAAACACCCCAACTTGTGGATACTCAAAAAATACCCCACGAGTTTATTGCTTTCCCGAATTTCATTTTCGCCTAAGGTGTGAAAATCCCTCATGGAACAACCTCCCAAGCTAGTGACTGCAAGGTACAACCACAAATAAAAAAGGGATAACCGGACGTTTCAAACCGGCTTTGCTGAATGGGACCGAACAATTTCACACAAAAGATTCCAACAATTATACTTCACTAGCTGTAAGCAAGATATACCCTCCTCTATGGTAACCTACAAAATGCCCTAAAAAAATAATAGTATAATCAGATCTGCGACAGCATAATCCATGCAATAGCAGATCTCGTGGACTTCATAGATTAACATTCACACAACTGCTTTATTATGGAAGAATGCCTACTGCTAGACAAAAAAGTACACCCCCACCAAATCAATGGTTATGATGCCCATATCTGTCTGGTCTGAATGTGGGTGTCAAATTCAGACTACTATTGATTGAAAAAAAAACCGTACGCTCTCTGCAAAGTTGAAGAAATAAAGTATATCAACTTAATTGGAACGATGAAATTGGGTATTTCCTAACCTGTATGCGACACTTCACAAGATCAAGTGGGACAATAGCAGTGTGAGTGGTTCCACATGACAGAACACCTCCAAGTGCACACAACCCATAGTACTTCAAGGATCCGAATGGGACTGCATCGCCTAAGAAAAGAACTTCAACAAGGTTCACAAGTTCATCTTCGAAATTCACAAACAAACCTGTTATCGTGGAAACTGTGGTAGTGGCTACAGCTACTGTTAACCGTACTACAGCAGATGAACTTCCGTAAGATAACCAATCCACAACCCCATCTACTAGCTGAGTAACCCCCCACATATACAAAATAATCCATGAAGAAATGATGACTAAACAACCAAGAAAACCGCCTTGATAGTGGGGTTGGCGGGCCCGAACAAGATATGGCATTAGCTTCTCTTGTGTATCGGAAGTCATTCTAAACATAGCCTGTGATGACGGGTAAGGCGATGAATACGATTTAAACGGCTATCGCGGGAACATGGGGGATGCTCTGCCACGTTCAGTGCGCGCTCGGCTGCGTCCATCACCGTCGCTCTCTCTCGCTTCTCTGCACCCCTACCCCGTGCCACGTTCGCCACGCTGTAGATGAGCTAGTATCCGCTATGCACCCTCTACTAATTCTCCTATCGTGCATCTCCCAGAGTTGTTCCCATATGAACTATCAAGAGCCTGCCGGTCGTTTTAACTCGTTAACCCCAGCGAATTTAAGGCGCTCATTTCGAAAGACAGCCACGTTGAAGGTTCATATGGGAACTAATTTGGGGAGATGCACCATACATTTTGGAGCCCATCAACTACGAGACTACATTAACCACCACAGACAGGGAAAAGAGTGTGGTGTGGAGTGCGATGCAAAGGAGTGCGGTGCGTGCGACAATCCCCGAAATTCAACCTTCAAGCTCTTCACTGCTAAATTAACAGCGGCAAGGTAGAAGGATGGGAGTGGGGGCAGATACCTAGCTCAATTCCATAGATAAAATTTTGTGTATTAGCGAGAGCTATTTACACTGCTTGCATTTTGCGCGCATTGCCGCCTTCGGCGCGCCCCTATGCAAAGCCTTTTTCTGGTGCAGCAAGAGAGAATGTAATTTATTTCGCGCTTAATTATTTCCAAGATGTCTTAACTTGTATGCTTAGAATAAGACCTAAGGTTCACATACGAGGTAATGAAATAATTTTAATGAATAATAAAAGTGATTTTTGATGCTGAGGGGCAGACTGTAGACTCTGTTGAATGGTTAAATAGTTACTGATACTGGATCGATTCTGCATTAATGGAACAGAACCTCTTCCCCCTAGTAAATGCGAAAGAACATAGAAATCCTGACGGAAAGAAGCGCGGTAGATCCGAACTGACAACAATCAGCGAACTAATTTTCTACAAATAGTTGCGGAAAGACCAATGGTACCAAAAAACTTGGTTATCGATGAATTTATTTCTATATCAACAATTGATGACCACCTCGAGAACTAACTACCTACCTTCATCGAAAGTAACGTGAGCAGTGCATTGGGCTGTTCTGATGGGTGAAGAAAAGGGATTAGCCTTGGCAGACTCGGTTAGTTGATCGACCAATCCCATTTTACCTGAAATATGGGAGCAGTGATATCGAAAGTCTGTGCTATTTTAAAATCGTAAAACTAAGAAAAGTCAAATAAAGATATGAAGGCGAATGTGATTGGTGTACGGTAGCAGAATGATAGGAATGAGAACACTTTTTAAGCCTTTCAAGAGAGTACAGCAATCGATAGAAGCTTCTAGAAAAGCTGTCGCTTGATGACATTTCGTACTGCACAAGAGGTTTTCAGGGTGCCTTCATACCGCGCCGGCAGCCGCCGCTAGCAGCCCGTAGCAGCCGCCAGCAGCCCGTAGCAGCCCGTAGCAGCCGCCAGCAGCCGCCAGCAGCCCGCAGCAGCCCGTAGCCGCCGCTGGCCGCTTTTGTTATAGAGCGCAGAATCATTAGAAAAATACTTTAAGTGCTCCTGCCTATTCTTCTGTTGTTGTCAGTGGGTAGTTCGATCTCACAAATCATATTTGTGTCCATTTCATTACAATGTCGCCCATGGCCATATTGTTTTGAATCATAGTTCGCAGAAGTTTCTTTCCGGTGTGATTCCTTCTGACTTTGAATGCGTCCAGTTCCTGCGGGTGTGCAATTTGCTAACTTTCTCAGTATGCTTTTGCTTCAATGTTCTTCTTGCCTATCGGTGCATATCTGCATTGCATTCTACTATTTCGCAATTTCCCGAATTAATTCGCGTGTGGGTTCTCTCAATTTTGACAATGACTCACATTCGTTTTAGACAAGACAGTTTGCAAAAGTGAAATTTGGGCACCGATAGGATGCGCTGTGCGGCAGCAGAGCAATGAACACAAATGTAATATGCAAAGTCGAAGTACACACTGGCGGTAACAGAAGAAAAAGCGTGGAAGATGAAAAGCGTAGGCAGGAGCACTCAAAGCAGTAAGATTCTGATGGTTCTGAAATTTGCGCCTCTTTAACAAAAGCGGCCAGCGGCTGCTGGCGGCTGCTACGGGCTGCTGGCGGCTGCTGCGGGCTGCTGGCGGCTGCTACGGGCTGCTACGGGCTGCTAGCGGCGGCTGCCGGCGCGGTATGAAGGCACCCTCACTGTGTTTGATGGATGCTAGGACAAGGGGTGAAAAGCACTTAACAAAGTGAAAAGAATTCGACGGCGGAGTACTTCGAACTGCCTATCGTTGATATTTCGGATACCGTCAATGTTCGTTCATAGAGGCGTGCCTACAAAAACCATTGAAAAGGGCAACATACCGAAGGAACTTGACGTTTACCAGGAATTAGGAATTATGCGTTGATCGTCGAGGAGGCGTTCTATTTATGTGCTCTTATATCAACTCACTAGAGGCCGTGCGCAGGTCAAAGCACTTAGGGGGTTTCACACATAAGATGGCCCACTAACTGTGATTACGGGGTATGTCGAGACATGTCAATCCATCATAGCCTATAGACTACTGCACTGCAACAAATTTTCGACAGCAGAGGAGCGCGCGAGATACGAAAAAACAAAGGCCGGGCGGCATACCAACTTCGCAGCTAAAAATCTTCGTGTTTATAGGAATACACACAGTTAAGGTAGGTGCCAGATTAAGCGAATATTTTCAGGTAAGTGCCAGAGTAAACGAATATTTTGTTCAGCTTCGTTCAGCTGCAAAAGGCGCACAGAATTAACGTTGATTCTGCGCGGGACCTGCAATTGAAGCAGGCCTTGACAGCAGTAGAGATTATGCAGCAGACAATAATTCTGCGTGCCTTTTGCAGCTGAACGAAGCCGAACGAAATATTCGCTTACTCTGGCACCTACCTAAGGCACGCGCCATACTTGATCCGCTTGGTCCGCTTCGCTATTGGTCGGTTTACTGAATTGACCAATGGCGAAGCGGATCAAGCAGATCAAGTGGATTAAGCGGATCAAGTATGGCGGCACGCGATTTGATCGTCGCGACTCAATCGCCGACATTTCCATTCATTTTCATTTCACATCCAAAAATTTCGGGCTGGAAAAGTATCACAACCGAAATGCAAGTTGATCGGCATGTGATGCTGTAACAGTTGTCTCGTCGCGATTCAGTCGCGGCGATCAAATCGCTTGAAGTCTGTCCGGGGCCTACTTGAGATAACATTCAGGTGCAGATATGGGGAAAACATAAGGTTCTTAGAACATTGGTGTACTCAGACAAATCACCGGAACTTCTGCAGGACAAGCCAAATTTGCAGAAGTTCCGCAGGATTTTGTTCACTATTGCAAAAATGAAAACATTAAAAACCGGAACTTCCGCAGAACCGTCTTCAAAATCCTGCGGAAATTCCGAAAAATGCCAGAGGTTCCGCAGCATTTTGGCCTGCCAGAACTTCCGCAGAACTTTGAATGTGTTGTCTCGTGATGTTGCCTCGCCAACAACTAGAGTGCATTGTCGAACATGTCAGCCGTAGCTAGATAGTAGGTGGGTCTCACAGCCAACAGAGTGAGGTTCAAATCTCGCTTCGGTGTTCTCTTTTGCTGTTGTAGTTGGCATTCTTCGGAACTTCCGCAGGACCTCGTTTCGGAGCTTCCGCAGCACGTTTACGGAACTTCCGCAGGTGACCCGGCGGAACTTCCGCAAGCGCTCTGCGGAAGTTCCGGTCATTTGTCTGAGTAGCTTCTGTTACCGTCTCTTCCCACAGCAATGAAAACTCAGGAACTTCTTCAAGCTTGTTTGTCAGCGTTTCAAATGCATTCAAACGGTAGGAAATTGCTTGGAGAACTCGTATTTTGCCACGATTAAACTGATAATCTTCCAAAATAATTTCCGAAAAAATCAAGTAAATGTCATGACCTTTGCAAGAAGAGCTGTAGCAAGTCAACTGTGTGAGACTACTCTAATTCAATCTATTGAGAGCTGCGCCTTATAGCTGAATAATGGGAAAAAATGGAGAGTTAGGAAACGTTAAAGTAAAGGATAAGGTTACGAGGAAGCTTCAAATCAATTGCATAACTTGAGCGGATAATCATCTTTGTCACTAATTGAGAAAGTGGCAAAAGATAACCACATTCAAAAATTACAACGACAATGAGCGTGAGCGAAGCGATGGCTCGTACAACCTAGTATCCAAAAAAGCACTATGAGACCTTTTGATCGAAACAAGCACTGTTTTGCTAGCACTAGTAACCATAAACCATTCTGCATTTTCTATCCATAGCGGAATCGCGTGTTTCTTCGTGTTCTTTTTTCGAGATCAAAAAGGTGCCTAGGGGTTTAAAAAGACACACATTTAACAAACTTTGTCCGTCTATGTTGATGTCTAAAAAGATCTGTTTGCAAAGTGTACTAAACTTCAGTAAGATTTCAGAAAGAGCACAAATTTCAACCTGTGCCTCTTGACGGAAGGAACATCGAAAACTTGCCAATCAGAATGTGAGAGCATAGGATGATCAATCATAGTGATAAAACGATTCAGCTGCGGTGAACGACCATTTTGTACAGACCGTGACTCTTGCCTAATGTGAAAAATATTTTACTAGAAAAAGTAGTTTTGACAGACAGTGAAGTTTTCCAGTGAATTTGTACGTCCGACGCAAAACCAAAAGCAAGTCTCAATAATGATGTACTTCGTCGGTCGTTATCAGGTGCACAAATATACTGGAACTATTTTCATGTGACGAAGAGAAGTGTCCCTACGATGATGTGCACAGCAGCTGAATGAGTAAAGGTTATGCATGAGATTTACAGCTGAAGGGTTTTCGTGATGCTGATCTAGTGAATGATTGCCTACATTTTCACAGATGAGGAAGCACAGATAGGTCTTATAGTGAGAGGATTTGTATTTGATGATGAAAAGAAGAGAATAGCTTATGAGCAACCTGTTGAACCGCACAGAACGAGATAGCAAACGTGCAGTCACTAGTCAGAGGGCAGACAGAACAACAGTGTGAAGAGAATATCACTTGGAGACAATGTAAAATGTAGAAGGTGCGACGCCAGTCGTCAAACGGTGTAAACAGAAATTCCGCAGAACAAAATCTTAAAGAATGCACGTCTAGTGTAAGTGTTCACATTTCGAATGATCATGTCGCAGTAATACTGGCCATGAAGGGCGCTTTGCAGGCGTCAGTCGGGATACCTGTAGTTGCTATCTAAGGATTAGCTTCGGATTAGAGCGAGCTACCTTGACATGGCAACACATCTGTTTAGCTTATGGACCCCAATAACTTGAACGTTATGTGATCCTCATTGGCCAGTGAAGAATGGTTCAATACAAATATTGTCTCTGGGTGGTAATCGATCAAGATAAATTGATTGCTGGTGCGAACGATCATAATGCATAAACATTGCCTCGTGGAACCCTCTATCTGCATGTGTTCATTCTGCCAAACAACCTGATCGAATAAGTTTTCTGCCTATTGCCATTAAATGTCAACTTGATTGATTATGGCCATGTGTCCGATAAAATTTAGATCAATGTTCACATTATTTCCCCTATCTGTCAAATAATGTGCAGAAGATAGCAACCATTTTTTACTACGCCTATCAGTAAAATTTTTTTGTTACTAGGGATTATCAGTCAATCACACGTCATATAACTTATCGAGTACAATAGGAGCACTAAGATAATCTGGGCGTCTCAGCAAGCAGCATCGAAGAACGACTCAAAATATGCAAGATGTGGACAGGAGACAGACGAGAATTTCATCGCAGCGGTGTAGCCTGTATGCGACAAGCGAGGTTTTTGGTTATCATTAACGTGTCATGAACGCAACCACAACGCCAACGCGGCGTTGCTCTGCCACCGCGGAACTAGGCATATCTTTCGACGTCACACAACTGGAAATGATATGAAGAGACCCGAGACATTGCCATTATGTCAAGATGCATAGTTACCAATATCCGCCAAACACTAATACATTCGTTTGCAGTAGCTATGGATTACCTGAGGCCGGCACAAACGCGAGTGAAAAGCTGAACTCATGCTGTCGCAGAACCATGACATGTCGACCTTTCTACCAAGAAATGTGGCAGCTGATGCGTTCAGCGCATATACAACTGCCAACGCTCAAAGGGATCTGCTGCATGAATCGTGAATTGTCCTCTTTGTCGCAACAGGGGGTCTGAGGGCACCTGAGCAGTGTGCAGTCAAGCAAAATGCAGAACAACTGCTTGTACTATATCTGATGCGTTTTTAAGCTTCTTACTACTTTTAAGACACTGTATGACTGAACTTGCTTAGTGTTAAGCTTGAGACAACTGAAACTGTAGTGCAAATGCACCGTTGGAAGTGCCTGTACTTGCGCCTTGCAATTCTAAACAGCTAGTACCTTATACTACTATCCGAGCACAAAAATCCAGCTATCGTCTACGGGAATGGTACAACAGCTCAACCAAAAACGAAACTTGCTGTGGCGCCATCTCACAGCTTCTGCAATTACGATCAATATATGCAATCCAGTTCCATTTGTAGATGCTATGGATACGTAGTCCATGCTGCAATTCCCCTCCAGTATAATCTCTCCTGATACCCCACCCAGAGTCAACACTCTCATCAATATTTTTCAAGGTGAAAGAATAAGAAAGACAAAAGATCGGGAAGAGAAAAGGGCGCTCTAAGAACATTTCTAATAAGCAAACGGCAATGAATGCAACGACAGCACAACTGCACAATCTTCACAATAGTAAATCGGACAACTAACACAGAAGGCAGATTCGTACATAAAATCGATTCACACCCACGTCAGCAATATGAGAACCTCGATATTTGCAACTTAATTTTCTTTGGATTTGGAACCGGCTTCCTAATTGCCATAAGCATTCAAAAATTATGATAAACGGAAAAGTGATCAAGAACGGTCGACCTGTGCGATCGTATGTGACGCCTGTCCTACCGAGGTCTCAACGCGCATTCCAAACCATTTCCTTGAAATCCTAACCTGCACATCTAATGAAGAAAAAGTTTTTTCGGCCGAGCCTTATCTAACGGCTGGTGGTGCTGAGATCGTCGAGATCGTTTTCTATCGATTTATAGATAACATGAAATAGGAGTGACGTGGCCGCACTGTAGCAAATCTGCGTTGTTTTTATATTGGTGGTGTTACGTGGTTCAACTGATGTTTTTAGACACAGGTCTGTCTCTTTGCCGAATACTGCGGCAGTTTGGAACTTGAAATGGCTGATGAAGAGCTAAAGAAGGTAGTTTGTGGCTAGAGTTGTTTTGAGCTACTCTTCGGGTTTAGGCGTTCCAAGATTTGCAATTCAAAACGAATGAGACCAAAGCTCTGATAGCTCAAGGCGAGATCACCAAGAAGTTGAATGCCCAGGTACATCTACACGAGTTTTGAGTTTCTGTTTGTGAACTGAGGGTTTGAGCGACTCATCCCAGTAAGGGCATAGCTTGGCGGTAGTTTGTGAAGTGATCAAATGAAATTTTTTGAGTCACAGGCACTGGTTGAACTATACGCAGATAACACTGTCTTAAAATGGTTGAAAATTGATTACTATTGGTTATCTTAAGTTAGTGCGTAACTTTGCCAGTAGTATCATCAACCCACCAGTGTTAGCGTGTGCCTGAAAAAGTTAGTAAGTGCCGTGAATGAAATCTGGAACAAAATGAACCTGATTTGTTATGAGACCCTCGGGTGCTCCAGACTTTTGTAAATCATTTCTTATTCATTGTCTTCACATGCACAGAATGAGCGCGTTATCTTACAGTTTATTTAATTTATTTTGCGCACATTCTTGCGATTGCTCATTGTACTATTAACCACCTTCAAACGCACCTGAATAGGTCGTAAATTTGGGTGAGGCAAGATTCAAAGAGGTGATTCGCAGCTGTCTTACGGGCAGCAGCCATTCAAGATTTTTTCCGTTGAAGTTTATCAATACTTTTGATAATTCAAGCTTCTAAACAACAATTTTATAACTCGTGTAAGTTACTTTCAACAATTTCGCGATCCATTCTTGGCGAGGAAGAGAGGAGGAGAAAAGTTTTGTCAAAAATCATAGAGCATCAAAGCAGTTGTAGATTATAGGCTTTCAGAAACAAAGAATGTCTGAGTTATCGGCTGCCAGTATAGCGGAAGTCCCCACAGATCTCTCAGTATACCGCAGTGTTGGTCGCATGTTTCTACTGACTACAAGAGATTCGGAAATCGAGCGGCATAATAAGGAAGCACTTGAATATAAGTGGGTAATTACTTATACTTACTTATCGTTTTTTTACAATTGTTTTTCTGTTGACTTTACACTTTATTCCCTCTTTTTTTCATAATTCAGTCATCATTATCTATCCGAATGCCAAGTCCTTTGGGGTTTTGACATCAATTTATTTTACTCTCTCCTTTCAAATTGAAACATACGATTAAGCACAGTACGTCCTTTTAAAGGCAGTGAGCGGGCAAATTCTCGATTTCTAGCAAATTCGCTTACTTGAGGCTATCCGCAACTTCATTTACATTTTGATCCTTGTCTACTTTCTATTTGTTTTTTCTGTTTGAACGGTGCCACCTTAGAAAGCGCGAAGACGGGGAAAACATGCTTCCTTAAAGCTTTACGCTTTGATTTTGGACAAATGAAACAGTCTTCGCCGGAGCCGAGGCGCAGAATCGCTGCTCTGGATCTATGACTTCGACTGTGGTGGATGGGTATATGTCAGGAGGCGCGATTTTTACTGCCAGATGGACACCAAATAGCACATAATAAGTGTTTTTAGAACATTCTGAAAGTATCTAAATTCTAAAAGGCGATATATTAGATATTTGCATAGTTGCTCAGCCTTGCTACCTTGGAATCGTTCAAAACAGCAACTTGGGAGGTCAAAAATCCATGAAACTGTTGAGAACAGTTTCGTGAATATTTCGGTCTCTTTTACAGCAAAACCACTGGTCTCAGCCAGTGGCTTTTGCTGACCCTCTAACAGATAGTAAGCCAATGCAGTTTATCTGGTACTTTTTGAATACTCGCATAGCACTGAAATAGTTTGAGTTGGTGAAAGCCGGAGAAACCACGTCTCTTGACCGTCTCCCCTGCGGCGGTATAGGTACACTGCCGCAGAGCAGTAAACCGAGGCCACTTACACCTCAGGGCGTAATGGCTCAGCTTTCAAATTTGCTAGACCATGTTTCTTGCTTTTGGTAAACGTTATGGTCTCGCATTTACGCGATGGCATATTTGGAGAGGTCAGCCTCCGCATGAACTGAAAGCTCAAAATGCCTTTAATAAACACGATTTCGCCAAATCCCTCCATATTTGAATCAAATTTGATGAGTGTGGAAGTTCACTTGCTTTGGAAAGCGATTTTGATATATTCAGTTTGTAAGCCTTGAGCAGATGTTGATCCCTGATATCCTAATTGTTTTCCAGACGGTTTTTTGAAGCATTTGCTTCCTTTGATGGCATTTGTTCTTGCGAAGTCAAAATTGTTGGGTTTTCTTTCGACTTGTCAACAAATTTTGACCTTTTTTCTTGCATTGAGCTAGTTTTTCGGTGGTTGAGGCGTTTTTTTTTTCAAGAAACTCGAGTGAAGGAGTCTGTCTAAGCGGTTTTGGGTTGCAGTATTTGTACGGAATGCTAACCCAAAACCGATTGTCGTAATTCACCGCAGCACGATACCGCTCAATTACATTCGGATCCACGTGTTGCCCAAACTCATGCGTAATTGGTCTTATCATGCGTGATTTGCCTAATTTCCAGTAATTTTCAACAGTTGTTCTTCCATTCTTGGTGTATTTGACAAGGAGTTTTTCTTACAAACTCTCTTGAGCGCTCACATTTTTTGGAGATTTGAATCGAGAATGAAAATTTCAAATGTAAATTTTGTTTGTTTGCAGGCAGAAGATTGAAGCGTTTGGAAAGCAGAAAGAATATCTACAAAAAAATTTGGAAGAAGCTGAGCGAAATCTCCGCGAGATGGTGCAAGCCAGGAGAGCATGAATGAATATAACTGCAATCTATGTTTGACTTACTGGTCTCAGCCGTGTATATCTGCATTTTTTTATATTCTGGATTCACGTGCCGCAATTTCTGTCACGTTTCCCCCTCTTTCTCTGTTTGGGGGCAATTTTTGTCGCTTGTTTTCTAATTCGAAGCTAATACAGATAAACGAGTATGTAATAGCAACACCATTGCCAATTTCTGCACAATTTTGATGCGCTTCCATCATAGTACAAAGATTTTATCTGATCTTATTAGGCTCAAGAACATCATTCTGGCTTTTTCTCACCGAAGTTCAATCAAAATATCTTCTTTTCAATTTTTCGATTTGATGTGAATTGTGCAATATTTTTGGAACCGAGAGCATTCAATGCGCCTTTTCAGCTTCTCAACTTATTCCTATTTTCCTGAACATTGTTTGCAGCGAGAGTTATGTGGTTTGACCTTGGGCGGACCATTATGCTGCTATTTCTGCTTACCGTCTAAGCATTTCCCAACCGTGGCTCGTAGTAGTGCGCTAAGCAAGTACCTTATTTTCAGGTGTATAAGCTGCGGGGTGGTCTTAGCTTACATCGACCAGCCCGAATACATCAAAGGACCTCGCAACCAAAGGACCCTATACCATGCTGCGTATTGCCTGAAAGAATCGTGCGGCATAAGGATCGCTTCTCGAAACACAATGAAGTGGCTGAGCAGCTCGTTTGAAAATTTGAAAAAGTGCGGCTTATACACCTGAAAACAGGGTAACCTTCCACGTTGGCTTCGCCCATCAATGTGGTTGGTCTGGAGTTAAAAAGCCCAAAATCGGATTTCAATGTATCTAGAGTTGTCATAAACCCACCGTATCCTCTTCTGCAGCGAGACCTGGGCGATGGCTCTAGGGGTTCCCTTATTTTATGGCATTAGGATCTTATCACCCTCAGTTTGGGAGAACGCTGCTTTCAATCGCAGAGGCAGTGCGTGGACGAATACCCTTTGTTACCCTTTGACTTGCGGCCCAATGGCGAGCAGGTATGAGAAATGTTGTATTGAGTCACCAAAGCCTCCTATAATACAATGCCGTAAAAGCTAATAAGCTTCGTCTAATGATGTTTGATTGAAAAGTTCTGCTGGAAAGGCATGGTGCGCATATAGTTCTAATGACGAAAGTACGACAGCTTGCAGAAGAACGTTTGGAGTCAAGAAAGATGTCGCGTTGAGTGAAGCCCATTCTCCAAAATAGAAATGCACACCTTACACCTCGCGCTTTTTCTCTAGACTCACCCTCGCATTAGATAAACGAGTAATGTTCCTTCTTTTCGTACAGCATCCTTCCCGTAGCTCTCCTTTCTGTGATTTTTCTTAGCTGATGTATTGTATGTTCCTTTCGGTGTAAAATTTTCTTAAAGCGTTAGCGGCTTTTTCCGTCAAAACATTAGAGGAGGGTGAGGACGCGATTCGCGTCCGTATTGCTTTCCACAGGACCACAGTCGCGCGCGGAGCACCCTGCGGCGGCTTTTGCCTGGCAAAGCAGGGGGAAGAAAAATTTGCGGCGTGCGTGACGTCTTAAGACAAGTAAAAGTCAGGATAGAGCTGGAGACCGCCCGTGCGAAAAGATAGCCTCCCATTAGAAGAGCCTAACTCCCTCATCACTCTAGCCTCAAAATATCAGTTCTCTTTCCCAATTTCTTAGCCAGAATGCACCAAGTTCTCTCTAAAACTCCACAGTAAAGTTGTCCACTCTTTCTTCGGTTCTTTGTTACCCTTTGATTCATCGGGAGTGGCGGGTGCAAGGCCACGCAAACTGCGTCTTTCTCGCGGCGTACTCTCTAATCACGCCCGAGGCTTGATTAGCGAGTGAAGCCCTGCCTTCATCCGCTACTTCCGGTGAATCAAAGGGTACCTTTCGCTCAGCGGAGGCTATCAATACGATGGTCTTAAAATCCATCTTGAAAGGCGCGATAACGACGAGAGCAGACGTTTTCCAAAGCTCATCGATTTGAATTCGGAAGAGGGAGCAGCTTCCGCCAACGCTGAGAAAGCAATGTCGTAGCGACGTACCTTACGAAATCCGCCGGTGGGCGAGGCTTTCCAATTAGGGCGTAAGTCCCTCAGCTTCCAGGGTGATTTGTCATCTAGACCAGCGTTGTGACTATTTGTGCAAGGGTGTGTCCGAAATCATCCACTTTCACATGGAGCTAAACCCATGCATCATAAGCTTTCTCGGACATTGCCTTCGGCAGGCACCCCAGCTATTCTCAGCTGGGCCATCCGTTTTTCAAACAGTCTGCTCATCTAGTTGTTGTTTTTTCTCGAGGGTATTTCGCTTCGCGAGGAGTCCACTCTGCTATTTTGCGCATGCCTGTCATCCGCCTATCTCACAATGTGATAGACTCATCGAAGCTTTGTTTTAACGACGTATCCGCCTGGGTCACTAAGGCTGCGTTCATACTGAACCCGAAGTCTGGGAACAGTTCCAGCACAGTGCTCAATTTGAACACTGTGCTGGAACTGTTCCCGAACTTCGGGATCAGTATGAACGCAGCCTAAGACGCGACATTCTGCCCATATTCTTACTGTGAACGACGAAAAGCTGCTTGTGTAGGGAATCTTCAACAGACTGTGCTCAAGCGCTCTGCAGCTAGTATGTAAAGCTTTCGACGTGGCTGCAGTGTCGTCCCAAGCTCCCGCTGCTTATCGCTTCGGAAGAGTTTGCAAAAGAGGGGGCGGTACTCCAATCCTGCCCCCTTGACAAGTTTTGGCGTGGCGAATGCTCAAGATCTAGTGTACTGGCCACGGGGATTGGATACCGTCCCCTTTTTTGCAAACTCGTCCGAAGCGATTTTTCGCTTCAGATTCCACCTTTTTCGATCGCACTTGAACTGTTCCATTAGTCAGGAGCCGTGATCTCACACTGTGTCAAGATCCTAAAATCCCCAAGTTGACCTGGACAATGCCTTTAACAGAGCTCCGGGAGAGCGGCCGAATCGAATGAAGCCTCGTAAGCTGCTCGTTGGCTTCCTTCAGAGGTTCGAAGGAGGACCAGGCTCCTTTTCTTCTCCTTATGTTCTTCCCATTAGTCGTTCCCCATTTTCATCGAACGTCCATTGTACAGTAAAAAGACGTCTCCGTGATGTGGGTACGTCTTTCATTTCTGCATCTTTACAAATGGCGTTCTCCATAAAGATTCTTCACTTTTATCATGTCCGTTCAGTCCCCTCAGCATTGTCTCTGCTCCAGCGATATTGGTTAAAAAGGGACATCAGCGAAACAGTATGAGGAATCTCCCATCAAAGCTTATGGTTCTCTCGTTCAAGTTTAGTAACTTCATTGTTCACTGAGAACGCGGAGAACAGCTTCGGTGAGATTGTTTCACCCTGTCGGATCTTTCTAAATGGGATGGTCAAAGCACGTTAGAGCAGCTGCATCGTCGTTGTAAGGTCCTTGTAGCACTCCATCCTCACGTAAGCTGGGTCCACCTCTTCTATAACGCAGGCAGGATGGCGGTGATTTCAACGCTGCTTTCTCGTGCTCGACGAAGATAGGACGACAGACAGATGATGCCTTGATACATTTGTATTACCCTCGTAATGTGAATATCTGTCCCTCATAGCCTGTGTGATGCAGCTGATTCTTTTGCAGGTTTTGGGGCTATGCTTCATGCGGTGTCCCCTTGTGCGAGCGAAGATGCGTTCGTGTATAAGCAAAGTACCTCAAAATCTGGCATATAGGGAATCCTATCGCAGACGAATCCGTGTGGAGATGAGTCCGATAGAAATGAGGTCGCTTCGGACCTACCTGACTAGCGTGTACATACTTATCATGGAGAAAAGACTTGACTGTAGGGTGGACCTAACTGAAGACGGCTTATCCGGATAAATAGTGGGCTTATATTTTAGATTTTGAGTAAGGTACTGCAGTCCAGGAATGAAGGGGGTTGAAAAAGTTTGGAGCAATAGTTAACTGGGATCTGTTTTCTTCAATAGCCGTCGTCAACTTATCTGGCGATTTTCTACAGCATTTCGTCACAAGAACGACGAGGAATTTGAGCGTTTGTTCAGTACCACAGCTGCATAAGCCGATTCTAAAAAAGAACTCTTTTTGGGTCTTGCGTCAGCCATGAGCATTAGCCACTGTAAAATTTCGAATGACGTTCGAACTAGCGAAGAGATGCAGAGAGTACCCTAATTTCACGCGTACAAGACGCACCTTTTTCGATTTTTCGACTAAGCCCCTCAGCCGCTTTAAATTGTTTCGGAAAGCGATCCTTATGCCGTACGATTCTCTTAAGCAATATCAAGCAAGGCATAGGGTCCTTTGGTTGCGAAGTTCTTTGGCGTAATCGGGCTGGTCGATTTTGGAAAAAATCCCCCGCGCCTTGTACGCGTGAAATTAGGGTACTAACCATAAGAGGAGATTTCAAGGAGAGAAGCGTAGTAGGAAGTTGACGCCCTGGAAGTTGGAAAATGCATCAGCGAAGGAAGCTTCAACAAATTTGAGTCCGAGAAGACTGCATTGTTTCAATGAAATTGTGATTGCCTTGCGAAATATCGCAAGGTCTCTTCTGAAATCTGATATGATTGGTGAAGAAATGACCTCCACTTGATCGCGAAGTAGTATAGGACATCTGAGTAATCGCCACTCCTCATCTAGGCTCGGACAAGACTGTTTCTTGGAAGCTAACGAAAGGCATTCGAAAATCACCATGACTAGATGATGTACAAGAATAGATCCCGAACTTGGCATTGTTTGCCTGTTTCCTGCACTCTACAACTTCCTTGTGAATGTGATTGCTGCTCTGTCTTACCGTCGTGGCAAGAACTTTGATTTGTCAGACTGATGCTGTCATCTATGTGCTTTCAAGGTGTTTTCACTCGCACATTAGGATTCGTGATGAACCTTGAAGATTTTTACTATCAGCTTCCATTTTACACGGATATCTCCATGCAGAGGTGTTTACATCAAGTTGACAACATATCCCCAAAGCTATACAACAGCGCTCACTTCATATGAATTCTGGCAAGGACTTCGTGGAAATGAAAGTCTAGGCCATCAAACATTATTGGAACTACATCCCTTGGCAAGATGGACTCTTGATGCTCCAAGTACTTCCACAAATACGAGAGGCATCGAGCCATGTTGAAATCTCATTATGTGAACGAGCTAGCCCGAAAACCGGAGAACTATTTCGTACGTTGTGATAACTTCTCGACTTAGAGAAAGCGAGATGCTGTGGTGCTTGAAGGTTTATTGAGAACTGCGGAAAGGGACCACCACTCGACTTCGCTC